GTAGCTTGCGCTGCAGTCGACCGCAGAGTACTGATCAATTGGCCACGATCACCTGCTACAGGGATGGAGAAACGGAAGGCGTCTTCGCTAGAGATGAGCGCGGCTGCCCGACGAGCGAGCGAGGCGAGATCGTGCGGTGCGGTGCACCGCTCGACAGCGTCGGCATAGTGGGAGATCAAAGATGCCAATTGCGTCGCTGTGCGAGCTGACACACTCAAGCAGAGAGTTGGGAGGGAGCTTGCGCGTGTGCTCAGATGCTGAGCTGCAGACTGTATGACGCTGCTTGAGACCACGCCAAACGCGCCGAAACTGTTGATCATGGCGGTGGTGGTGGTGCTACGGGTCGCGGCAGGAGGGCGCAGAATCGCTGCGGTGCTGTTCAACTTGAGCGCGGCTCGTAGCCAATCTATTTTGTGATTTGGATCGCCGTACAAGAGGAAGGGGGGAATCAGATTGCGCTGGAGGCAAATCAGCATTTTGATGATGCCAACCAGTCCAGAGACCTCTTCGGTGTGTCCCAAAGCCGTCTTGAGGGAGGTGACGGTGACGCGCGTCGATGCATGCTGCGAGTCTGAGTCAGACGAAGCAGAATCAGAATCGAACACCTGCTGAATGGCCGAAGCTTCGGTCACATCACCAACTTGCGTGCCCGTTCCGTGCAGCTCGAGGACATCGACATCCTGCGCATCCATGTTTGCCGCTCGAAGGGCGAGTCGCATGACGTCAGCCTCGGCCTGCGCATTCGGTGCGAGGAAGCCAGCAGAGGAGTGGCCCAAGTGTTTCGTCGCAGTGCCCATCACTCTGGCTGCAATAGGCAGGTTGCGTCGCAACGCGGCGCTCTCGCGCATGATGAGCATGACGACAGCGCCTTCGGAGGGGACGTAGCCGCAGGCTGAATCGGCAAAGACCTCGCACCCAACATTTTGGTTGGATGTGGATCGCATGCGCGAGGCAGAGAGAGCATGAAAGCTGGATGGGTGAGCATGAACTGTGACTCCGCCAACAAGGCACTGTTCGCTCTCTCCTGTAAGCAGAGATTGAGTGGCGAGATGGAGAGCGACGGTGCTGCTGGAACAGGCGGTGTCGATGGTCATGCATGGACCTTCGCATCCGAGCCAAGAGCTCAGACGAGCAGAAGCAGTGCCGAAGCTGGTAGCGCCAGCAATGAAGCGGTCGTTGACCTCCGTGATGGGAGCATTGGATGCGTTGAGCAGATCATTCCAATTATCCTCGGGCTTAGTGCCAACATAGACGCCTGTCGAGGAAGCGCGAAAGCTAGATGTGGCTAGACCGGCGCGATAAATGGCATCGCGCGCACACTCGAGGAGAAGGCGCGCAGATGGTCTCACTTTGGGTGCTTCCCTCACAGGAATCCCGAAAGCTGTCGGGTCAAAGGAATGGACGCCATCCACAATCCAACCACCGCGAGGGCTTGATTCTTGCAACAAGGGGGATTGCATGAGATGTACAAGAGTGCGAGCATTACTGTGATGGGGAGCGAACGCATCAGCGGCAGGCCACCGATCCGCAGGCGGGGTGGTGAGCAGCTTGTTGGCAGTGGTGCGAGGTGCAAGTAGCGCTTTCCAAAGGTCTTCGTCGTTGTCGATGCCACCAGGCAATCGGTAGCCCGCACTGACAATGACCACAGGATCTTTGCAAGCCACAGCGGCATTGTGATTGGATGAGGAGGGCATGCTTGGCACCTGGTGCCTGCTGCCGGCCAGGCCAGGCGAGATCGTCATGACAATGTGAATGTGAGTCGTGAGTCACGAGAGGAGCGTTGGGGGGAAGACGCGCAGGAGACTCGTGACTGTGACTGCAATGTCGAGGCCACAGCAGTGATGGAGGGAGTCGTGCGATTCGTGCGATTCGTGTATTCGCTATCCACCCCGTCATACTGCGATTGTGATTGTCACTGTGACTGCCATTTTGATCAGCTTGGAAGGAATTCGCCAACATCCGCTCGCTGCACATGGTGGTTGCATCTGCCATCACGAATGCGAATGCGTCGAGTTGATCACCGCGGCGCCTGATTTGCCTATGCACCCGGGGATTCGGTGGATGCGTCCCATGCATGCGTATAGCGCGACCCTGCGCCGCACTATGCTCAGACCATGATGCATATATGCATGCACCTTGATGCGCATGAAAAGCTACTCAGACTGCAGCTAGTCGACGTGTGCAGAGGGCGTGATGAGGTGGCAATCAGCATGCAGCAGCAGCAGACTCTTGACTGCAGGTACAGCATATATATGCATGCTGGCGCCGTCGAGCGAGCGGCAAATGCGAGAGCTGAAGCTGCTAATTAAAGCGGCAAGACGGCAGTTGAGGCTGATGAGTGGAGCAGCGTGCGCGACAGAAGAACGACCCGAATTTCCATCAGAATCAGAAAGCAAGCAATGTGAATGTGAATCTTGAAACAGAATGTTCAATCAAGCGATCGACCGGGCAGTCAGCAAGTCAAGCCATGCAAGTCAGTGGTGAGTCACGAGTGACGATCGAGTAGCCAACGGACACCGATTACTCTGCCCGTTCCCCGTTCCCCGTTCCCCGTTCCCGTCCTCCTTCCCCCTCCCCTTTGACCACGCTTCAGTCAAAACATGGCTACACTTCCGCGGCTTGCTCCTCTCTCCCTTGCGGCACCCGCACCCGTGCCTTCCACGCCGACCATTACCATTCTGGGTAGTAGCCGTTGGGCGCAAGATGCAGCACTGTTCTGGCTAGCCTTTGGCGCCGACGTGAACCTGATTTGCGATCGCGATCGCGATGGCGGTGCTGGCGATGGCGATGGCGATGAAGAGTCTGATGAGTCTGTGGAGCAAGAGCAAGAGCAAGAGCAAGAGCAAGAGCAAGAGCAAGAGCAAGAGCAAGAGCAAGAGCAAGAGCAAGCAAAGTCGTTGTCGTCACAAATTCAACTTGGCCTACTCGACAGGCTGGCTACGGTGCCACGCTATCGAGCCCGCAACACGCTCCACACCATGCCCTCTGCCGAGCATGTCGGTCTGAGTCACGATTCTGCTGCTTCCGCCTCCGCCTCCGCCTCCGCCTCCACTTCCGCCCTTTTGCTGGATCTGAGCGCCAGCTCGCCGTCGGCGTCGCAAGCAAAGGCGATCATCCTACCTTCGCCTGCGCCTGCGCCTGCACCTGCGCAGTTGGACAAGGTATCACGTGAACCGACGAATGAACAGGCGCAGACGCAGGCGCTCCCGATGCTCTTGCACCTTCTTCCCACTCGCGATAACGATATCCTTGACAGTGCTGCCCTCGAGATTCTCCTTCCGGCCAGTGCAGATGGCCCATCATCGGCCGATGCATACTCAAACTCTTCCCTCGCCGCTCTCGACTCGCTCATCGCGGCTTTAGGATTGACAAGCTGGCGAAGGTGAGTTCTGAATTCTCGCCCGCATCCATCCGGCCTTTCATGGGTCTGCCTCTCCGATGGGCGCCCTTTCATTTGTTGGGTGCTCTTTGGCCGCGCATCTCTTCAGCCACGACGCGCTTCGCCTTACCCATCTGACGCGATGTTATCCCCTCACACTTACAAAAGAGTGGTGGACGCACAAAGCCCCCTCGAAAGGCTGCGCACGGCTGTTCGAGATTTTCGCTTTGCATGTAGCAAGGCGCCAAGGGATATAGAGGAAGCACATCCAGAGCAAGTGCCTGACGGCCTCGATCTGTACAAGATGTTGCAGATCAGATCAGGCGAAGAGCATGCAGTGCTCGATGCTCAGAGAGTCTCACGTGGGCTTGGCCAGACGCGCACGCCCTACATCTTAGCATTGGAATTGCTTCGAGCAAAATTGCTTTGCATCGATGCGCGCACGGGTCAAACACACGATGTGTGCGATCTATCGAGCTTCGGCCCTTCAGGATCCCTGCGTGGTCCGGATGGCGTGACTTTTGATGCCTTGAGAGGGTGCGCATACGTTACTTGTATGGGCACGCCGTCCTCCGATAACGGATGGATACTCCGAGTGCCGCTCTCAATCCGACACGAACCGGAAGGGGAGCGCGTGGGTGCATCAGAAGCACGCCATGTGAGCTGCTCGGCGCAGCCAGAATACGTAGTCAGACCTGGACAGACGCACACGCCGAAGCAAGTCTGTTACGAGGAGAAGACGGATAGGATCTACTGGTGCGATCGAGAAGGTGGCCGGATCCAGAGCATCAAGCCGGATGGAAGCTCTTTACAGACGATCTACCGCTCTCATCCCGCGCATATCCCCAAACCTCTTGCAGATCAGCGGGATTGGTGCGTGGGAATAGCGATAGACGCGCAGAGGGACCTCTTGTACTGGACGCAAAAAGGCTACGCAAAGAGCATGTCAGGAAGGATCTTCTGTGCTCCGCTCCCCACCATCGCTTCGCAATCGCAAGAAGAAGCATCACACTTGACACCGGATTCCGAATCTGTGCACTTGATCGCCGACGCATTGCCCGAACCGATCGACCTGCACCTCAGCCCTGACGGGCAGTGGCTCTATTGCACCACGCGCGGAGAAGTTCCGTTTGGAAATTCCGTCCTGAGGTTCTGGGTGGGTCGGTGCGACGAGGAGGGGGGCGGTCATGAGCCCTCTGCGCAGGCTGCATTGCAGGTACAGCGCTTGACACCCGCCTCTTTTGCTCCTCTACTCGTTTCGCTGGGCTTTCACGAAGCGATAGGCCTAGCCATCTCATCCACACCTCACCACCCTGACGCTCGTATCTACGTCGCCGACCTTGGCGGCTCGATTTGGAGTCACCGTACCAATGGTACGGATCGTAGATGCTTGCTCAAAGATGCCGGTAGCTTCACAGGACTATGTTTGCTGGAGTAGCATTTCTTGAGTCTATTCGCCGATCATTGCGCTCCACGGCGACCCCAGAAGGTGTGACGCCGCGGCACGCGCGCTCGCACGTGCATGTACAATCCACTCACTACATATATCATCACTTGACTCAACACCATGATCATCACCATGCAACAGAAGGTTTGCGACCACGCGCGTGCGCAAAGGCCACCGCTACTCGTTTGTAGAGTGGTACGAAAATGGAGGAGAAGCGATTCGAATTTTGAGGTGGGGAATCATGCATATCTTCAGCGAATCGTGGGATCGCACGTGCAGGGGTAAGAGAGCAAGGCTACATGCCTGAACAATCTTCTTGAGAATGCAACGTCAAAGCAGAGGGAGTCAAAAGCAGAAGCCTCCCCCCCCCCCAAAAAAAAAAAAGAAGGATGCAATGCGATGCGATGCGATGCGATGCGATGCCATCGTAGGGGGGGCAGTCAGAAAAAGCGAGAGGGAAAAGAAAAAAAGTAGAGGCAAAGGCGCGTGCGTGCGTGCAGTTGGCATGGATTTGGCAAACTCGTCGGCTGTCGAACGGGAGAGCGTGGAGTGCATAGCTCAGACCAAAGAGATCCATCGCACGGCGCGATCAGCAGCCTCTTTGCGCTGAGAGGCAAAAGAGGGGGGCGGAAGCATATGGAAAGCGTGTGGAGCTCCGGCAACGTTGAATCGCTCGTAGAACTTCTTGTCCGACACTTTGCCATCATTGCCCAGTCGCATGCGCCTCTCGTGAATGTCAGAGTGGTCAAAGAGAATGTCGTTGGTGCTGCAAAGAAGAAAAGCGCGCGCGTCCCGTTTGCGCAACAGCAACACCAAAATGTACGGAACGGAAGGGGCATTTGGTCAGCTGCTGGCGCCCCCACCCTCATTGGCATGTTCTCGCTACTGAATTTTGCTCGCAGCGACGCACCCGACGAAAACAAAGGTGCGACACCAATTTTCATAGACGGATGCTTCGGAAACTTGCTCCCCTTCTGCGCCATAGATTGATGAGGAGGGATAGGACGGGCTAAGATAGGTGCTCTGCAAAAGCTGTTTCCTCTCCGAGCTTCCCAGGTACTCCGGAACCAATTTGGCTCTAGCGTAAGCATCTGCCACAGGACTCAACCAGTCCACGGCAGCATTGTTCGCGGCAGATCCCTTTGGATCTCTGCAGGAGGGGGCAATGGGCACAAAGAGCTTAGCAAGATGTCACGATAGCGATGCATGATGCATGAAGGCGATCGAACCCGGGCGATCTTGAAACGCACTTTGCCAAAGCCCCAGTCAAGTCTAGGTATGGCTGCAGCGAGAAAAAGACTATTCACGTCAACACGGTTCAAGTCATCGCAGAATGAGAGCAGACATGGAAATGGATGAGACAACTCACACACGCAAGGATGTTCGCACCAGGCAGAACATTCAGATTCTCTTTGAGGTACCGCGTCAAGGCGAGAGCCAGATGAGCACCCGCAGATTCCCCCATGAGAATGACGTTTTCAGGTTTAAAGTCCAGCTCTTCAGTGAGATAGTTCCAACCTGCGAGCGCGTCGATCAAAGGAGCCGGCCAGGGCGCTCTGTCGGATTTGCGGTACTCGATTGCCAAGATGCTCGATCCCGCACTTGCAGCGGCGCCCGCCCGCCGGCTTGCATCGAGATAATCCAAAGTCAAAGTGGAGTAGGCAGTCTTGCTGTTCGTCTCTGCTGTGCCAAGGAAATAGTAACCTCTGAAACGGTTTGAGCGCGTTGGGAAGATCAGGACAAGCACAACGAGACACTTCAGCGCAAGGCCTTCGAAAAATCTGAGTCATGTGCGCAAAGCTAGGTAAAGCTCACCCGTGGAGCCACAGCACCACTTTCTCTCCAGGTTGAGCAGGCGACTGTTTCAGCTTGGACGCGCGCTCACCCGTCCAAAAGATTCCGACGGGCACAGGTTTGGCGAGGAGATCTCTGGAAGATTTGGAATTAGCGTGCGTTTGAGATTGCGCCACCTCACCTGCATTGCGAGGTGCTTGGGTAGCTTTGGCAAGCACGCGAAGTGCGAATGCAATGTGACCCTTGAGACGCTGCTCTTCCACACCTGCAATGACGTCGGGCATGGATCCGATGGACTGAAAACGTTTCGTACGCTCCGCGTCTGTCTGCTCGGACAAGTATTGCCCACGAACACCGCCGTTGACGGAGACCAAGACGTGAAGGACATGCTTTGAGAGGGAAAGCAGGATAGCCTCTTGAAATGCGTACCTGCGCTCGCCAGAGCGGCCGGCATTGGCAATGAGGTCAGCAGGCAACCGAACGAAGCCAACGCTGATGAAATAGTAGACCTGATAGCAGAACTTGTATAGGCTCAAGAAAGGGTTTGCCATGTTGGAAAGAGGAGTGTGAGGGGAAAAGGGGCAGGGGCAAGAGGCGAGGGCTAGCAAGGGATGTAGAAAGAATGGTGAATACAATCACAATGACGAGTGCTTCTTTGCCATGCGATGCAACGTGGAGGACTTGTGGTAAGTTTCAGCTATTGATCTGCGCAGGCGGAGGGCTATTTATGAGCGCGGTCATGTCGTGTGTTCGCTGGCGCTGGCGCTGGCGCTGGCTCGACCATCTTCTCACCGCACACGTCTCGAGAGCCATGCGCCCAAGCTTTAGTCTGACGGCCCTGGACAGTCGTGAGTTGTGAGAGAAATGCAATCAAAAGGTGGTAACGTTGACACACACTCACACTCACACTTACACTCAAACCACTCACAACTTGTACCAAAGCTTGCCTTCATCGACGCAGACCCTTTCCCTCGCCAGCGCAACCTCGCCTATCGCACCGAGCAGAATAGCAGCCAGAATGATTTGAAGATCGCGAATCGCGAATGCTGCCGCGTCATGCAGTCATGCAGTCATAGCACATGCAGGTGGGTCAGTCACATCATGCACCGAGCTTGCTTCGCATCAAATGTGAATCAATCAACGAATCTTCGGTCAGTCGAGTCGAGTGCGCGCGTCGGTCGATGCAGATGCATGGCTGAGGTATAGCGGGCGACACCATGCAGCGAGTACTGTATAGTGCTCGCATGCATGCATGCATGCATGGATGCATGAAGATTGGTGCATTGTCGCTGCAGCATCCGCATGGCTCATGCATGACTTGGCTCATACATGTACGGTACGCAGGGGAGACAAGCTGCATCGGCGACACATTTATTCACATTATAAATGAGTCAAGAGTGGTATAAGTTGCGAGTTGATCGATGCGCACACATTCGATCGTGATCGGCAGAGGCAATTACCGTAACGGCAAACGTCAATCAACCTGCTGCACACTCGTAAATGCTGGGCGCAAATCAAACAAGCTTAGACCGCAACAAGCCTTGGCGTCTCCACACGAGGCTTTGCCCCTCCACTCGACTGCAATCAACACTCACAATCACAATCTTTGAGCGCGCAGCATGAATCACGAATAGAATTAATCCAGCAATCTGACTCGGACGTATGCTCACCTATGTGCTCGTCGCCCGTTCCCCTTACCTTTCACATTCCTAATATCGACGTTTCTTCTTCATTGTGGATCATTCCGCGGTCATCCTTTCCAAATCCTCGCAAACAACAGAGTGTGAGTCTGAGTACTGACTGATCATGCAAACGCTGGGCCTGGAACGCGATCGATCTTGCATTGACTACATACAATCTGTGCACTGTTCCCACAGCAGGCGCCACTCTGGCGTCACCCCCCAAAGCCGCATGCAGCCCATCGTTGGCGGACAGCGTATCACGCTGGCCAAGCGTGAAGCGAGGAACGGTCAAAGTGATGGCGACAGCGGAAATCAACTCGCCTCGCTCTTCACCTTGGAATCATTCGATGTCGATGCCTTGCCAACGTTGAAAAAGGGAGAGATCCGATGTCGCATACTCTGTCTCAATATCGAACCGGCGCTTCGTGCTTGGCTAACCACTGCTGCCGTGGCGTACGCCGATGCTGTGCGCGTCGGTGATGTGATACGCTCAGCGGGTGTGGCTCTGGTCACAGAGTCCCGCTGCCCGAAATTTCGTGCCGGAGATCACGTGTACGGCTTGGTAGGCTGGCAAAGTCATGCCATTTTCCAAGTCGCAGCCGACGGCCAACGTCTACTGCTGTGCGATACGAGAATACAGCGCCAGGTGCAGAATTACGAGGAGGCACTTGCGGTGTGGAGCAGCATCTTGTCCCACACGGGCCTCACGGCATACTTGGGTCTCGTAGATTTTGGCCGCATACAAAGAGGCCATCGAGTTCTCATCACCAACGCTGCAGGCGGCGTAGGAACGATTGCTGTTCAGATAGCCAAGCTCAAAGGCGCTCATGTGGTCGCCACCGCGGGCTCCGACGCCAAAATCAAGTGGCTAAAGGATGTGCTTGGAGTGGATGTCGCGCTGGACTACAAGACCGTCACTAATGCCGACCTTCGGCGCGCCTTCAATCCAGGTCTTGACATTATTCTCGATAATGTGATTCATCCCCTCACGCTCGCTCCGAGACCTTTTTGCTTTTGTTTCGAATGGCAGGCTCATCCGTCGGGGTTTTTTTTTCCTTTCACTGCACAGGCTGGAGGACGCGTGCTTGATCAAGCACTGTTGGCACTGTCGCCAGGCGCACGCGTGGCGCTCAGTGGGTTCATGACGGGTGAGCAGAGCCGAATCGCATTCGCACATCATGGCATGCAGCGGACCGCATCTGATTCCACGAGCGAGTCCTTGCCGTGCACATCGGTGGTGATGAACAGCTTACAAGTCTACTGAGACTCGCGGACTCACAAACATGTATCGCGTGATCGAGACTAGCTCAACAGTGCAGGGTCTCTTGGTGACGGGCGAAATGATGGAATCTCATACCAAAGCCAAGGAGGATCTCTACGAGTGGTTCAGACAAGGAGCTTTGCGTCCCATCGTGAACGTGAGAAGAGGGCTGGAGCAAAGCCCATTGTGCTTCCAAAGTTTATTTCAGGTGAGGAAGCTGGACTGGCTTGCCTTAGCCGCGTCGCTCTCTGCCCATCTGCCGCTATTGCTGCTCACTTGGACTTGCTGTTGCTGCAGAGTGGACGCGAAAGCGTGGGAAAGTCCATTGTGCTTCTGGACGACGCATCTGACTCTCTGCCTGGCCACAACGCTCCATGGTCTGCAGCCAAGCCGACCATCAACCGCCCATTTCGAGATGGCGTCCAAGATGGCGTCAAAGAAACAGTCATCACCAACTCTCGAGAGCGATCCATTCATCTTCTTACGAGGTTGATTCCAAGTATCTCTTCGCGAGGAGGGCGTCAAATAATTGTGCTGTTCATCCATGGTACAGGTCTGCCAAAGGAGCTGTGGCTACACGTCATCAATCGTCTGTCTGAGAACGTGATGGCGACACCGAATGCGCAAGGGCAAAACGATATTGCGTGTGTTTGTTTCGACATGTCTCGTATGGGTGAGAGCAATCGGCTCAATCGTCAGGATGGTCGATCAATAGAAGAGGGACGTGAGTAGAGGGGGCCCCTTGGCTACCAGAAGCAGGGCCGCAGGTTCAGCCTGCTTCACAATCTTGCATTCACAAGAACCCAATCAAGGAGCTCACTGCTGCGCTCGGATCACTCAACAGAGACACACGAAATCTGGCAAGCAGACATCATCGATGTGGTGCATGATATTGCATCGAGGTCGTCTGAAACATGCGACTTCATTTTGGTGGGGCACTCTGCCGGAAGCACAGCGGTGTACGTTGCCCCATGCTTTGCTTCCCAGGCATACCAGACCGCGCTGAATGTATACGCGTCTCGGCCTGTCTTGGTATTAGGTTGGAATCCGCTATCAAGTTGACCAACAGCAACGTCAAAGTCCTCGGCGTCGTTGCGATCGATCCTACAGCGCTGGCAGCCGCGAGCAGCCCGGCAGCAAGTGCCGAGCCGCGTTACGTCAAAGCGCTGAAGAGCTCAACGGCTCGAAGAAGGGATAACTTTCCCTCTACCGACATCGCTCGAAAAGCATACAAATCTATGCCGCTCTTCAGGCATTGGAAGGATTCGCAGCTCGAGATTCTCATTCGCTTCGCTTTCACTCAGCAAGGCGATGGGTCTTTGCAGAGCAAGACAAGCAGAGAGACAGAGATGGTGAGAGATATATATAGAAAAGCTTCACAGCTGTTGGAACAGTGATCAGACGTCAGAGACACAAATTCTTGGACCTCGGCGCAGCACTGACAGAGCTCCTCTCCAACGCGGTGCGATCTGAACTGATCGGACGCGCACACAGGACGTCTACGAGAATTGGAACAAGGCCTTCCCTGTCCTTTCTGACCGTTTCCGAGCTTTTCCATGCCCACTGTTGCTGATCAGCGCCACACAATCGGACATCTTCCCGCATGCCCTAGCTTGCCTCGCTGCCAATCAACCGAGCGCTATTGACGTTTATCTGCAGACTATCGACGCGGATCACTTGGTCAGTCGTCTTCTGCTCTTGTGGATCTTTGTAGGCTGCATGGCTTGAGCCCGAGTCATCATCGCGACTCAATCTTTCTGCTTCTTTGTCGGTCACAGGTCATCGGCAGCCATCCAGACGAGTTGGGTGAGTGAACCTTTTGCGGACCTCTTGCCCTCTCTCTCACGTTGACGCTCATCACCGCATCTTCGCTGCTGTTCACTCAGCCGATCACATCTATCATTTTATGCAAAAGCTCTAATACGCAACCGAACCCGGCATACAAGAGGTTGGCATAGCGTTACACCATTCACAGGTCGAAAGACTAGCAAGTCAAGTCTCCAGCATGAGAAGCAGCGCGGGGCCTGGGCCAGTGGGAACGATTGTCGAAGCGACTGTTAGGAAGGTTGAAGGCACACGAACATTGTGCTGAAGCGAGCATCTGCCAATTGATGTCATGACCGGCCATGTAGACTTCAGCCAGAGTGTCCAGTTCCTCATCCTGAGAAGTCAGAGCAGGGATTGGAGAAGTACGTCTTGGCGCAGAATTGGAGCTCGCTTCCTTCCGGGAATCGTGATGACCAAGCACGACCATCGTTTTGTGAGCATTCTGATGACTCGACGTTTTGACTGGATGCCAAACTTGACCAGCAAAATGCCTTTGCCAGTATTGCGCTCCTAGACGCTGACCCTCGGCGATTGGATGGGTTGTAGCAGATGCAAAGGTAAGACGATCTCTTCCGGCAGCAGGAACAAGATCTTGCGCATGCTTGTTTTGCCACATCGAGAGCGAGGACGAGGGCAGGCAGATGCCGACTTCTGGCCAAAAATGATCTACGATCCTAAAGGCGTCGGTCGGCAGCTTCTGTTTCATCTTTTCGATGGACCGCGTGCTCCCTCGAACTAAAATGTAATTAGTGCTTTGGGAAATGATCCGGCTGCCGGCAAGGGAACACCACAGTTTGAGCGTGGAGATATCGAAATCTCCAACCACTTTCAACGTGCACAAATCCTGCGCTTGATGACCTTGGCACTCGGCCCAAACAAGCTCGACCAGCTCTTGAGCTGCCGCGCGACTGATGAGACCGGCATGTACCGCGGCTGCTACCCCTCCGAAACCCTCACCGTGCAACAGGATGGAGCTGTGAGGCAAGAGTTGGCACCACCTCTCCGCGTCGGCAAGCAGCTGTAGCACGTATTGGTTTGGATCCACAGTGAGCTCGGACATCGGCAGCATGCACAAGCTTAACCTATCTGTTGTCGAAAGCGCAGGAGTGGGAGTTTCTTGAGATACAGCACGAGAGGCTGCGTCGATGGCTTCTGCGAATGTGGCGCATGCCACAGCGAAACGTCGATGATGATGATCTCGTCGAGTTTGAAGAGTGAAGCACACGTCTTGGAACGAAGCGGGAGATGAATCGGCCCGCCTGATGCCATCTAAGACTTTTACTTCTGTCCACGCTCGTACAGTGCTTCTAAGAGCATTATGGCTTTTGGCAGAAAGCACGAAAAGAGCTTTTTGCGAGCTCAAGCCCTCGTGCGGGTCCGCATGACGATGACGAGACCGCTCCAGATTTTGTTCCGCAGCAGCAGCGCTACCCTGGATGGCCAGCTGTGCATTTGTCCCGGTCAGTCCAAAAGAGTTGACCAAGACAATGTGCTGTGCTGATCGAGGTAGAGGAACAGCACGATGTTGGGCGAATGTCAGATTCTGAGTTTGAAGCTGAACGAGTGGATCAGCGTGACCAAGGGCTGGCCAAGCACCATGTTGCAAGCTCAAAAGGGCGTGCATGACACCTGTGTACATGCCACGATGCGTCAGCATCGTCTAGCGCTATAAACTTTGTCGCGCGCCAAGGCGTCCTGCTCTATCACCCACCAAATATCCCCGCAGCTTCCTGAGTGTGACCAAGTCTTGACTTGGACGCTCCCAGGAGTAGTGGGTGGGCACGATTGCCATGAGAGAAGACTTCTGAAAGGCTATGAAGCTCTGGACTCAAGATGTTTTCCATCTTAGCGAGTGACAAATCATGCTGCATCGGTCCTCAGCAAATTGCAAC